TTGCAACAACAATGTTGCATTGAGCATAGATGTCAAATAAGCTTCTTATCCCTTTATTTGGTGATTTTTGTGACTCTTGATTATTCACTTTTTCATTTTCTTATTGAGCTTGTTTTGAAGTAGTACTTATATCATCGGGGATTATCTTTTCATCATTCCAATCCCAGTGAGATGCTTCATCAATTACCATATCCCTTCTAATCATAACTTTTTTGGTCTTAGTATTAAGACCCCGTATCCTTTTGTTTCTATACTATAACCCAAAAAGATACAAATTTATGCTTTGTCATCAAGCTTCTTCCTTTTCTCTTCTGCTACATAACAATAGTAGATGGAATTAAACACCCGTAGATGCCTTGTAGCAGGCTTCCTTCCACTCCAGCATTCATATGAGGTCTTTCCCTCAACAGCCCGAGAGGGAGGTCGGTTCAACAGGTATACAGAGGTATTCATGGCTTCACACCAAAATTGCAGAGGTAGTTGTTTATCCTTGAGTAAGCTTTTTGCCATCTCAACCACAGTTATGTTCTTTCTTTCTGATACTCCATTTTACTGTGGAGAGTAGGGGGCTGTTAGCTGTCGTTTTATGCCTTCTTTAATACAGAAATCCTTGAACTCCGTTGAAGTGAACTCCAGAGCATTATCTGACCTCAAACACTTTAGTTTCATTCAACTTTCTGCTTCTGTTTCAGCTTTGAACTCCTTGAACTTTTGTAGAGCTTCATTCTTTATTTTTAGGAAATAGATCCATGTCATTCTAGAGTGATCATCAATAAACAGGATGAAATACCTATTGTTGTTTAGTGACTCTGTGCTCATAGGACCACAAATGTCTGTGTGGATCAATTCAAGCTTGTTACTTGCTCTCCAAGAAGACTTTGAAGGGAAGAGTTATCTGTGCATCTTCCCAAATTGGTAGATTTGGCAAATCCAGTTTTCTCCTATGATTTTAGGGAGATCTGGACTCAATTTTAATAAGTTCATTTTCTTAAGGGCTTCAAGATGCACATGTCCAAATCTTCGATGCCATAAAATAGTATCGCTTTGAGTAGCACACTTTAATTTTTCTTCAACTCCTTATAGCTTCAAGGTAAAGCTTTTATTGATCATTGGAATGTTTACAATTTCATACTCACGTGAGTCTTTTATGGAGCATGAATTTTCCTTGAAGACCACGGTGTATCCCTTTCTGATTATTTGGCTCACACTTAACAGATTTTGCCTTAAGCCAGGCACATACAGGACTTCAGGTATGACCTTTTTTCTTTGGTTCGTGGTTACTGCGATGCTTCTTTTTCCTTCTGCTCTTAATGCCTTTCCATCACCTAGAGTTATGTTGAGCTTTGTATCCTTGTTAAAATCAGAAAACATTCTTTCGTTTTTGCACATGTGGCTTGTACAGCCACTATCAATTATCCAGTGAGTGTCAGCTTCATCTGGTTGCTCACTGAGTGCCATAAACATCCGCTTTTCTCCTTTAGTTTCTTCGGTATAATTTACTTCTTGTTGAGACTGATTTTGAGTAGAAGAAGCAGTTGTGTTCCCTTTAATTTTTTTTTTCCATCAGCACACATTTTCGACGTGTTCGCCCTTCTTGCAGTAATTACACTTGATCGGATTCTTCCCTTTATACCAACAGTCTTGTTCTAGGTGGTTATTGTGAGCACATATTCTGCAGTTTGGTAATCTCTTTTGCTACTTATTGTTATACTTGTTTAAATTTTGTGTTGATCGTGTGACTTGATCATCTTGATTTCTTCTTCCTCCTCTTCCTTTACCTGGATTCTTGCTTCTGTTTTATGTAGCTACTAGTGCTCCTTCGGTGGAGTTTGTTTCTCTCAAAGTTGTCATGTGCTCCAATGTTTACAGCTTGCCCAATAGTTCTGCAACCGAGAGAGTTCTGAGATTGCATGTTTCTTCTATCGCCGAGATTTTGGCCTCGAATCTGACAAGGAGACTCACCAATATTTTTTCAACTACTCTTCTGTCTTCGAAGTCTTCTTCGAGCAATCTGATCTAGTTTACAGTATCAAGAAGTTTTAAGGCATACTCTTTTACGCTTTCTGCCTCTGTCATCTTCAGTGTTTCAAATTGCTTTCTCAGGTTCAGAATCTTCACCATCTTGATTCTTTCATCACTTTCAAACTCCTCATTCAACTTGTCTCATACTTGTTTTGGGTTTCTCAAGTTCATTATTCTGGAGAATACCGAATCTGATATTACCGTATGCAAAAAAGACGAAGCCCGAGGTTTCTTAGAGAAGTTTTCTTCATACCTCTTTAATTGGTTTATTGTTGCATCCTCTTTCAATGATGCTGGTTCTGCATCATCTTCCACGACCTTCCATAGGCTGTGGGCTCGCAGGTATGTCTCCATCTTTATCGCCCATACGTGATAATTTTCTCTTGTAAATAGAGGAGGATTTAGTGTGCTAGTCGAGTTTGTTGTCATTCCGTATTTTTGTTTTCTTGATTTCTTCTCACAGATCCCTTAAGATCATATGGCTCTGATACCACTTATTGATTTTCAATCAAACCGATCACAATTTTTGCCATAATTTTAGAGAGAGAATTTAGAGAGAGAGAGAGGGAAAGAAAACAGAGGATGCTTATGCATGCTCCTCTGTTTTCTAGCTTCTCTTAAACTTGGAGAATTTTGAGAAGAAAGAACTTAGCTTTTTACTGATTGATTTAAAGTGGTATTTATACACAAAATTAAATTAGAGTCTTACTCAAAAACATAATTCGAATTCTAATTAAAAACATACTTTGAACATAAAATTTAACGTAATCCTAAGCCGCATGCATGTCGATGTTCTTTATGCATTATGCCACCTCTCTGTATTTGGAGCTTTATTTCGAGTAAATTTCTATTGTAACTGAAATCCTTATGTCGAACACCTTCTTTACCTCCAAAGTCTCTTCATTCTTTTTTTTATGGTATCGATTTCTTTTCCTTCTCTTCCCGATATTTCAAATGTTTTATCTTTAATTCATTAAATATTTTATAGTACATATCGCACTTTGCCATAAGAAAAGACGAATCAACACTATTCTTCTTATTTAATGTGATCCTAGACAGTCTAGAATTAATCTCAACGATGTGATCTTGCACTAAGAAGGAACTCCATGAAAATTCGGACTCTTGCAGAATGATTACCCGCAAGTTCGCCCTAACACGTGGTCATACGCACATAGCACAACAAACGTGCGAACGTAAAGATTCTCGAATGTTCCATCCCAAATAGAAAAGTGATGTCAACATCCTTTTATTTCCTAAACGGGAACAACTCAAATGGGAAAGTAAGTTCCAGTTTCCTAAATAGAGAAATTCAAAACAGGAAAGTAATTTAATCTCTAACTATTTTCCTAGTTGGGATTATTCCAAAAAATGGATCAAGTTTGTTCAAGCCAAAAGACTTAAGACCCAAGTAAGATTAATGAGTTTAAAGAATTATAAGAAAGCTCACGCTTGAGGAAGATGGCCCACACAAACCAAGCGTACGCAGTCCACATGCGCGCAGCATACGCATGGGTGCAGCAAGGCCCGCGCACAGGCGGACCCAATAACTTTGCCGCACGACCCAAAAGGCCTGCAAGCATCACACACGGAGCCCGCCGCATGTGCATAGGCCCAAAGGCCAGAACGCTCGTGCTCTGTGCCGACGAGCCTAGAACCAGCCCAACTGGCCTAGCGCCTGACCCGCGGCCTGCACGTACCAGCTAGTCCAACCTGCCTGGGTTACCTAAACCTAGTTGGCCCGTTCTCCACCTTTTAATTAATTAATTATTTTTATTATTTTTTATTTTTTATTTTTAAAAATTTTGAGATCCATTTTTAATTCGCCATGTTTTTAAAATTAAATTCCACATATCTAAATTAATTTTCTCATGTGTTTTACATAGAAATCATATGAGATAAGTTTTATCATATTTTAATATTATTTTATTATAAATATATTTCTTATAATTATTTAATTAATTTTTTTGTATTTAAATAAGATAACATAAATATTTTATTATATAATTATCTAAAAATTTTATATAAGATACATTTTATTATTTTATTTCAAAAATTTGTACTCATATAATTGTCCAAAAAATACTATGAATAGGCATTTGCTTATACGTTATAAACACACTAATTACCATCAATTTGAAAGAAATTCTTAAAAGTTTAAGCTTTTCTTCTTTTAATATTTTTGTTAATTTAGTTTTTTTAAATTCTTCGAAAAGCATGAATTTTCAAAAATTTTATTGAAATAAGAAGCGGAGATCAACTTATCGATAAATCTGTAATATTTTTTCTTTTCTTTTTTATTTTTCCTAATCTTTGTTTTTGCATTTCTTTTAAAACTATTAATTCAATTAGAGAGAAAAATTTATTTAGGCGATAAAAATTTCAATATTACATAACGTTAAGTGAGTTATAAGAGTTGATTCAATCATTCTCATACCTTCCCGCATCATTATTGGAGTAGTCTTAGATGATCTAGTTATTTCATTGCTCTATTTGTGTGTTATTGAGAGTCTGCCAAGTATGTTTCTCCCCACGATCTTAACTCATGCTAAGATCTTTTAGTATCCATTTCTTATAAATCGGTGCTCATGATGTAATACTTCGGGATTGTTTGGCTATTCATGTTAGGTTCCAACGAACATCTTCCTCACTTTTGAGACAGTGAAAATTCATCCATATCATAGGATATGCTCTTGAGAAGTATTTAGTTTCATATAGATTTCAAAGACATAAGGGGAAGGGGGACTCTTGAGTAAATGTTTGCCTTCTCAAAAAATGTTGGCACTTGGGGAAGAATTATTTAGGGATTTGGAGCAAATGGAAATGAAAAATAGGTTTCTAGTACTACAAACAAAATCTCCACAAAAAGAGCTATCATTTTATACATTAAAAATGTGTAAATAATTGTCTTTGAATAACACTAAAAGTCAAGTAAATTTTAAAAATAAATAAATCCAGAAAATCCACAAGCATCAAATAAGTTCCCTTTTAACCACAACCAGCAATCGACTATGGTAGGATTACTGCTCCGGTCCCAATAAAGATCACTATGCGTGTGCTCGACTCCGTTGCCGACCCACCATACCTCAGAAATCTCTTTACATCAGACAGCTAGAATTCAAGGACGATCCACCATCACCACCTCACGGCCTGACTGTGCCCAACCTTCTCCGCACTTCTATACAACCAGTGCCACATAACAAATGCAGCAGAGCACAAAGACCAGATAAGATATCAAGATCTAACACTTTATTTTTATAGAAGAGAATCTAAAGTTATAAACAACCAGGTCACTATAATATGAAATCACAATAGTATCAAATCGACAAGTATTTAGAGGGAAAAACAAAACAATAAGAACATGTGAAAAGATAATTGTGATAGAATGAAAAGTAAAACAGTAAAATCACTAATAAACAAAAGGAAGAGTAAAAGAACCAAAGTTAGTAGTCACCTGGCTCCAATCTTCCTTGAAGAAATCAAATTCACAATAATCTTCAGATAGATCCTGATATCTCTAAGAAGAGACAGATGAGGAGGCTGACCGATGTGGATTATGAAAGAGATGTTTCACCAGACCATTATTATCGGGGAAAAAAATGTTTCAGCTGCTGAGGATGGCTGCTTTTAGCTGCATGCGCTTAAAAATGAATCTACCGATCCCTAGCATTAGGTCCAAGTAGAGTGCTGGTAGACTAAAAGCTGCATTTGTAAAAGCACCTATCAAATGCAACTTTCCCATTCTCCCAAGTCTTGACAAGCTCTAGTGGAGACTAAGGAAAAAGCACTTAAGTGTAGAGGTCAACAATCAGTGCAAGAACCCTTTGACATAATGCTCCAACAAATCCATTTATTAATCCCAATCACCTTAAAGGGCTAACAACCCAACCAGTAATGGGATTCTTTCTCCGAACCCTGACTTTCCTATGAGAACCACTTTGCAATCGTTCAAGCACTGAATATGTAATTGAATCAGGTGTCAAACCCTGCTGTTTAAGTTTTGCATACAGATCAACTGCATCAGCAGTTCTCCCATTCCTCTCAAGACAGTCAAGTAAAATGTTGTATGTAACAATGTTAGGAAGGCAGCCCTCACAGATCATCTGATCAAACAATTTGGAGGCCATTTCAACTCTATCTGTCTTGCCAAAGCATTCAATAAGTGTGCTGTATGTGACAACATCAGGATTGAGTCCTTTCTCTTGCATCTCCTTAAATCTCATGTGAGCTTCATCAACATCACCATTTTTCCCAAGGCAGTTGATCAAAGAATTGTAGGAGACAACATCAGCTGTACAGCTGCTGTTCTCAAGTTCTTCAAAAATTTTAACAGCTTCATTGACTTTGCCAGTCCTGCCAAAGCTGGATATCAAAATGTTGTAGGTAAATATATCAGGTAAAGGCCCGTCCTGTTTCATCCTTTCATAAAGATCATGAAGATGGGATATTTGCTTTAACTTCCCAAGAGCTGAGAGTACTGTGTTATACATGATAGTATCAGTGGTTATTCCTTTCTCATGGATTTTACTAAGCAGATCAATAGCTTCAGTTGTTTTACCAGCATTGCACAAACTTTCCAGCATTGACTTATAGGCATCCCGGTCTCCCTTATCATGGAAGCTCCACATGTTGCAAAACAACCGGTGTGCTTCACCAGCATGACCCAGTTTGCTCAGTTTCGTTACAAGAAATGCATATATCGACTTATTCATGTACTTCTTTGATATTTCAACGACTTCATCAAGTTTAGCCAACTGCCCTTCTGCAGCCAGAAGATTCAGGATGACACTGTATGTAAACTCATTGGGTTGACAATCTCTCTCAACCATTTTAGAGAATAAACTAATGACCTTCTCAATCTTTCGGGCTTTGCAAAGTGCCTCAATCATAGTGTTATAACCCATTAAATTAGGAGCACAACCCTTTGATATCATTTCATCAAAAATTGCCAGTGATTGATCATGTCTCCCAGACTTTCCGCTCATTCTGATCATAATTGTATAAGTATATTCGTCAGGATCACAATATCTCCTTTTCATGTCTTCAAAAACCTTGTAGGCCTGGTCAACCTGTCAAGAGGCTGCAGATCAGACAATCAGGGTCTAGAAACTTAATTTTCTTGAAGATCAACCAGGTCTTTATATTAATCACATACGTGACCAACTTCTTCATTTTAAACCAACCAATAAAAAAAGTCAAAGTTCACTTGACCCTTATGAAATATTAAAAACAAGAAAACATCAATACTTTTCAGGGCTAGATTCAAATAAGGTTCACGCATTCCCAGTAACAACGTTTAGAGCAAGAAGCACTGACATATAAATGTCCACTCCAAAATCTTAAGCCTACTTTTTGGGTCTGACATATGACACTCATTGCCAAATAACATTCAGCTCAAAAGTGCAAATACTTGTCATAATGCTATCTACAACATCAGGTTACTGCATTGTAGATGCAACCATATAAAATCACACAGAAACATAACATGGATGCTTATAACTTTAAGCAAAATCCATATTTCCAATTGAAAATTGTCTTAGCTACTTGTCAAAATTGATTCATACAAGGCACAAGAACAGTAAGCTCAGGTAGATGTTTCATCAAAAACCAAATGCACATAGGCACGACATGATAAGGCAACACCAAGACCACATAAACTAACATCTCTACCACAGATAAATCAACAAGCTCCGTATAATAATGATAATAATAATAATAATAATAATAATAATAATAATAATAATAATAAAATGAAGAAAAAACAAAGTAAATTTAAATCCAAAAATCACAACAAAAATAATAATAAGGTTTTACAAGTTACCACATTGATCAATATGCAAAAACCACAAAAGTGCAGAATAAATGCAAGACCAGCTAAAAACTCAGTCCTCAAAGAACAAATCAATAATAGTAATGGCAGTAACAACAATGAGAAGGCAAAAAACCATACCTTCTCATCTTTGGCCAAAGCATCCAAAAGCATGTTATAAGCAAATATATCGAGCTTATACCCTTTCCTTTCCATCTCAACATACACGGCAAATGCCCGACTCGAATCCCGAGACCGCAAATAAGCCTGAAGCAAGCATTTGTAGGTGTAAGGATTCATCTTCAAGCCCCATTTCTTGACAAACCCAATGCACCTATCCAAATCCTCAGCACTCTCAAAACAACTAATCAAGATATTGACAGTGGAGACGATCCCACGCACGGAGGATGTCTCCATCTGTGCAAGCAGAGAACGAATCAGGTCGAGCTTGTTGGGGAGAGTTGACTTTGAGAGAACAAGAATGATGCGAGTGTAGGTGAAAGCATCGTGTTGGAAATTAGGGGAAAGAGAGGAGCAAAAATGGAAAAAGCGAAGAGCGAGGGAGGGAGAATTGAGGGATTTGAGAATCTCAGAAACCTCGGAGGTGGTGAAGGAAAGGGAAAGGGAGGAGAGGTAGTCAGAGAGGTCAGAGAAAGGGTCGTCTTGGAGGGAAGTGTAAGGATTTGATTGGTTAGCGGACTGGAGGATGAGGTGGGTAGCGCGACAAATGAGGTTCCGACGTGGAATTGGGTAGCCCCGAGAGTCGTAGGGAAGAGTTTGCGGAGGGGAAACCCTAGCCGAGAGCGAAAGGCCAGAAGCGGAGGTTGATGTGACTTTCGCTGTGTATTTCGTGGCGAAGTGGCGGAACTGGATGCTGCTTGTGCTTATGCTGAGTAGTCGATGGGACTTCATGACTAGATAGATGGAGCGATGGTGCTAGGGTTTTATTCGGCGGGAAGTACTCATTCAACGCGAGAAGAAAATGAAGTTACAAAGAAGGAAGCAAGATAAGAAGAAAATTGCAGTTTTATGTTTAAATTTTAGTAACGATTAAATAATACATTACAATAATAGTTATTTGATGATAATAACGGCGAATATAAATAATAAATTTTTTTATATTTAGATGATTATATATATTAATAATATATTTTTATATAAATAATAAAATAATATGTCTATATTTTTAATTAAATTATTAATTTATTTTTATTTATTATATATAATAATAAAAAATATGAAATGAAAAAAAATTTATTTATTAATATAATTATATTTATATTTAAATAAATAATTATTATATATAATTAAATTAAATTTTATATTTAATTAAATAAATAATAATTTATAAAAATAAAAATAAAATTAAATATATTATATAAAATCTAAAAAAAAATAATATATCGATCATATACTACCAATTTGATAATTTTAAATTTTATTTTAAATTTATCGATAAAATATTATTTATTATTATTAAAATTTAAAATAAACATACTTTTTTCTTATCTATAAAATATTATACATTAAAATGACAGTTTTGAAGTGTTACACCTCACATATACATATATATATATATATAATTTAGTTGTATAAATCCAAAAATTCTTCACATCCTCCGATCGTTCTCCTTAACAGAGACTAATAAAAAGCCAGAAGCAAGGTCCCCCCCCCCCTTCTCTCTTTTTATCTCCATCAACTGAAGCTCGAAAACCAACCAGAAGCCCGCTCAAGTTCGAAAATAAGAGCCTCCTTTCAATCCAGAAAAACAACTGTCAATTTTAAAATTGATGTTTTTTTTTTCTTTTAATTTTTGAATCCTTTGGCACACCAAACTAATTCAATATGGATTACAGATGATTATATCTAATTTAGTTTTCAATTTCTTCCGTTTAAAAGCATTTATCATGCAATATCTCTACTGGCATTTCTCAGAGTTAAGAAATCCTACGGACATCATATTGAACATCCAGAATTTTAGATATTTTGGCTAACTCCGTAAAATTACGAATCCTTTACAAATTAAGTAAAAATTAAATGATATCACTTACAAAATGGATTTTAAAAAAAAAAAGGAACATGAAATCTTCTTTTCCTTATTAACATAAGAAACAAACTTCAATCAGTACAAGTTTTTGGAAGACCGACCAGAAACTTACACATACCCAATTTTTTAAAAATGAAATTACCACATACCCTTTGACTCAACAGGAAGGCAGAATAATTTCAAAGCTTAAATCATAAGCTAAAAATTTATCCTTGTGCTTGCCAAGAATTTAAAATGCAAGGTTCAACATTGTTTTTTAAGCCCACAGATTATTTTATTTACGCTTTGGGCTTTAAAAAAACACTTTTGGGTCTGACCCGGTTTTACAATCCTCGTTCCCGAAGACTTCAGGAAAAAACAAAAAAAACAAAAAAAAAAGTAGCCGTTAGAATAAAGATCTTGGTAATAAATACAGGAGCGTCTTTCCCCCTTTCTCAGTCTCTCTCTCCTCAATGGAAACTTCAATTCCAAATCCCACCAACAAGAGAAACCGCTCTCTCCAATTCATCGCTAACAACAATGCCAGAAATGCAAGCTGGAAGAAGAGAATCCAAACTCTAAAACTCAAGGCTCACCAGCTTTCCACATTGGCCGACGTCTCTGTTTCCGTCTTGTGTTTCGCTCCCGACGGTAAGCTCCATACCTGGCCGGAGAATCCTACGGAGGTAAAACAAATCGTAATGAATTACAAGAACTGTGTTGATCGTGATGCTCGACAAGGAAAATGGAGTGAAAACGTCGATCTTTCGTCTTTTCTGGAAACCAAGAAAAGAAAAATTCAAGAAGAGAAGAGCGAGATCGATGGAGCGAAGGAGGCAGAGAGTTGTACTTCGGAACAGAGCCTTGATGAATTGCCGAAATCAGAATTGATGAATCTGATGGGTCGCCTGGATTTCACCCTGCAAAGATTGAGAGAAAGAAGAGATCAGTTGCTCCTTGATAAAAATAACGTACCACTTCCATCGGATAATTTTGCAGTGCCTGGGTTTAATGATAATGTGGGTAGTCTGCAAGGTTTTGGTTCAGAGAATCAGAAGATTAACAATGGTGGGTCAAGTAATTTTCTCCCCGGTTATGAGATGTTTGACTACCAGTCAATGCTAATACCGCAGTTTCAAGTGGTTCCTGATCATCAACTAATGCTAATACCGCCATTTCAAGTGGTTTGCAGCGATCTAGCGATGCTAATGCCGTCGTTTCAAGAAGCTTTGCCACTTTCACGGTGAATATACAGCGGGCAATTAAAGCAATCAAAAGACTCAATGGTTGCATTTTGGTTTTTTCTTTTGTTTTTTTGTTTTTTTGGTCCTTTGATTAGAGTATGTACAGTCAAAGGATTCAATGATTCAATTATGAGAATAAGAGATTTGTCAGAGAGTTAACCCTCACCCTGTTAAAGAGGAAGTTTTTGTTATATAGGACAGTAAATTTGGCAAAAAGATATATTCGAACATGCAACATAGAAAGTAATGGAGAAGAGAAAGACACAGAACTGGGCAAAAAATACTTGTAAATATTTTTATTTTTTAGCTCAGAAAAGAGAGATAATGACTGAAGATATATATGCACAAGAGAGAAACTAGTATTTGTTGAGAAAGACAGAGTATTTTACATAGACTAGAAATATATGTATGCATATATATTGTTTAATTATTTTAACAGCCAAACTAGTATCACAAATTATATTAAGAAAACAGAGAAATCATATTGTTATAAATTTCTAAAATGAAATTGTGTTTTGATGGTTTAATCAAAATTTTGGTAATGTTTTTAAATATTTACTCATATATTAAATTTACTTTATATAGAATTTAATTATGATATGTGTTTGTAACAATATAAATGTAATAATATCATTTCATTTCGTTCAATTAAAAAGTTGAAGTTTTTGTTCATAAATTTGGTAAAACCAATCATACATAGTGTTGCAGTATTGACCAGTGACATCTGAAAAACAAAATCTTTCCTACGTGTGGCTCCCTTGTGGATGTTGACAATGGCTATTGTCGCTTTATATATGAACCACAACATATAAAGACTGGGAGAGAAATTACAAAAATATATTATTTTGAACTAAAAGCTGTGCTGATTTATACATGTATATTTTAGCTGGTATGAACAAATACGGATACAAAGAGCACAAACAAGGTTAACGATCCTGAAACATCAAGTACTAAACTTTCTCCATCACAAAAAGCCTCTTCCAGCATGTCGAGGAATCCTTCCTTTGAGGCCTTTTGGAATGTAGGGGCATTATAATGAAACCCATAAGAAGATGCTGCTTCAAACCTAGTCCACAACTCTTTCTTCCAGAGTATTCTCACCAGGCCATTTGCCTGACCGAACTGTGCTTTATGGTTCCCTCCACAGAGGTGTGCTTTCAATGAATGCAAAGCTGCCTCCAGCTGGTTCTGTAGTAAGAAAGGCATAACTCAATATGCTAACTGAGCATACTAAATATTATCAGAACAATAAAACAAGATTTTAAAAAAAGAAAAAAGAGGAAGCTATTGAAATTTCTAAGCTTTCTGACAATCACCTGTAGTATTATTTGCTTTGGATAGAGAATTCTCGATTGGCTGAATGAAATCAGAGATGACTGGGAAGTTGCATTTGTTGCCAATTTTTTCAATTGACCTCTCATCCAGTGGTTCCAACAAAGCACATCTTTTAGGAGGAGAGAATGACCAATCTGGTGAAGTTTCAATGTCATTCTTCCCAATTCCTGATTTATAAGCATGCTGGATTCCTAAAAGCTCAGGATATTTCAAAGCCAAAGCCCCAGGATATTCACTTCCAGGGGATTCAGAAGTCTGTGAGTCACTGGAACTGTGAATTCCAACTGGGTATGGGGTTGATCTAATAACTTTGTTATTGCCATGATAACAGGACTCAGAAAGAGGTTCAAGCAATATATAAGATTTAGGAGGAGACATTTTTAAGCATGGAGTCATGACAAGCATGCTGTGGTCTTTCCTTTGGGATGTTGACAAGCAACAAAAACCATCCTCTAGCATCTTTACTGCCAGAGCTGCAGCCAAATCCCTAGGCTTATTTGAAATGGGCAATATCTCTGAACCTTCAGGCAAAGGATCATTGGATTCTCGAGAATAGTGGCCAAGTGAACTTAGTTCTGAGTAGTAGTGAAAGTAAACCTTT